TTACCATAACATAAATAGTATCAATTATATTGTTTACATGTTTGTTGCTATATCACGTCACATTTTATAAGTTCTGCCATTTGTAAAGAAATATAAATAAATAAAATGGTGTAGTATTTACTAACGAGATAATATATGTTTATTTGTAGGAGGTTTTTACAAACATTTTATTGAAACACGTAGTTTATAAACAATTAAAATGTGTAGTGGACGAAATAAATGGAATAACAACTAAAATCTTTAAGTATGACGTTATTAACAAATTAAACGTTGCTTTGCAATTGTTTGATGTTTGTTAATAGCTTTTATTTCAAGTATAGCCTAAAGCAGAAACATTGGGTCTAACATGAATTAGGCATGTAATTTTTGCTTTGAATTACGTACCTAATGTTAAGTCTAGGCAGTATTTTATTTCAAACACAGCCTAGCCTAAACTGTTCAAAAATAAAAATTGTCAACATGAGGCTAATAAAATAATGTTAAATTCTGCATTTTCACCCAACCTCCATCCACAAAAAAAAAAAATATTAATATTTACTGCATAAAGCCTTTTTTGGTGGCCCATTTTAAAACTGGTACCGCGCACGAAATACTTATATCATATGAAAGTACAGGAGACTATGACCTTTAACTTTTAATAATAATGTACAATCAGATGACCACAAAAGTAAAGACGATAGCAACAACAAACATCATATTTTACGTTTAGGATCATACTATATTTTTATTTCGTATCTTAATTGTGTAAACCAATGAGGAAAAGCAACTGAAAATTAACACAAAAAATTACTCTTAGTAGACGTGAAAACTTGATTTTTGAAAAAATTATTGAGCTTTTGACTACGTTTTAGCAACTTTTCCTCGATGTTTTACAACACGTTAGAAGCTAAACATTGTTATTTGTATTTATAAATAACATTACATAAACAAACCCATAAAAATAAATGATTTGCAAACTAAAACTAAACTCAGTAAACATTGCTGGCAGTAGGTATGAAAATTCCCTCTCTTCTTACCCCCAGTGGGGATAGTATACTAACCATAGTCTTTTAATATCTAACTATAGTTGTTTGTTTTTTGTTTTTTTCTCTCCGCGATTACTGTTAAACTGATGATTTGTCTATTATGGATCCAAAATCAGAGGCGTGAAAAATAGCATTTGTGATTAATTGTTTGTCTTACACAAATCACTTCCCATGAGATCTTTCGTCGAATACCAGAACTCGTTAAATGGGCTGGTCGATGAAAGAGAAGAGATTCTATATTATATATATATCTTCAGTTAACGTAAATTTCATCAAAGCTTTTAGGCTTATTTGTTTCTTGTGCTTCACCAGTTTCCGACGTTTAACTCGTAATTTTTAAAGTATTATATAATACATTGAATATATTAATAGGTAGGCCTAACTTATTTTATCGTGTTAAGAGTTTGCAAACGAACAAATTGTATATTTGAATAAAATCTGTTAATAAAACCAAACACTGAATATACTTTCACAATAAGTTCTTTAAAAATTCGGCACTACTTACAAAATGCTGTGTCATATGATGAGAGTAATTATTTTCCAACTATAGTATAATAATTTAAATTTTAATAAACTTTCTGACACAATGATACTTTGATAGGCCTACTTAATAAATTAATGTAATAACTTACAAATTAATATATTAACTTATAAGTTAATATATTAATTTATAAATGTAATGTTTTACGAGTTCTTGAATAGACTAACACTACGTACTGTAAAAAATAGTGTTATTTAATATTTATTATTACTACTAGCCTAGTAATACTAATACTAGTAATGCTAATGGTAATACGTACTAGTACAAGTATAGTAGTAATATTACTGTATCGGGATTAGCTTGTCGTAATCATAAGGCTTAATTATTAATACCATACAGGTAATAAAAATATTATTTCACATACTTTAAGCAGTTCACATTACACACCTTCCATCGATTCTTGAATGTGTTCATAATCCGATTAACGTCTGCTCTCTTTGACCAATCATCACCCCCTACCAACCCACACTCTTCAAGGAATTAAACAAAATGTGATATTTGTTTTAAAAATTGTTTAAATTATATTAAAGCTCCTGAGCTTCTTTTAAAAATTTATTTCAGAAAACATTTCTTAGCTATTGTGTTTGTAAGAGTTAAAAGGTTACAAGTTCACTTACAAGAATTTCAAACTCAAGGATAATGAAAGTTATGTTCAAAAAATTAATTAACTAAACACCTGAAAGTGTTTAATTTTTCATCAAATTTTAACTAATTATTAAGTATTATCACGCATGCTCATGATACGAGTAATTTGTTTTGTATTTAATTAATCTCTTGCAAACACTCCAATTAGTACTATAAGTACTTGTTAAAGTTAAATAAACAAAATTATTTACAAAAACATTTCAAATAATTCTCTCTGGTTTCGAAAAAAATGTTTTCTTTTTTTTTCCCCCTCCTCGTAGGCTCATCTTGGTGATTAAAAACTTTTTGCCCACATTAATTTATTTTTGCTTGTAGGTGTAACCTAATGGTCCGAATTGTATCTATATACATAAAACAGATTTATCCGCTTGTCTGTGTGGTGTCACAGATTGTTGTGAGGAACTGGTTGAACCATTTTCGATGAAATTTGGTAGAGGAATTCAGGTGGACTCGCCCCTAGTGGATGAGTAAGCAATTAGATCAACAGTTGGAATTTGGCAGCCATGTAAATTTTCTCTCCTTGGTGCCGTGAATGAGGTCTCAAGTGAGAAAGGAGATAATTAGTAAATTTCATGAAACCGATATCAAACGAATGTGACATGTAATGTCGTGCGTAGCACGGGTGTCCTTCATCAGATCGCTGGTTCTGGTGCTATCATTCAAAACAGAGGCATCGCTAGGTGCTTAAAAGTTTCGGGGATCGCACACTTTGGCGCGGAAATTTTCGACATTTTAGTATGGTATTGATCATTGTTTTCCGCTTTGATTTTTCAAGACGCCAACTGGGAATTCGGGGCACAGGCCCCGTGTGCCAGTACCTAATGATCATTTATAGAATCATCTTTTATGTCTGATATTGTCGGGTGTTTTTGTCAATATACACATAACTTTTTTTTTCTTCTACAATTGTAGCTACTAAAGTTTGTGAAAAAATAAAGAAAGTATATTAAAAACCAACAGCTATTTGAACATAACGGGCAGCGTTTTTTGCGTTTATAAAATAAATAACAAAGGGAGCCTTACTAATAACCCATGTTATAATTTTTTTAAATTAATTGTAGTTTGATGAACTAACAGTTCAAAACTAAGCTTGCATTTTCTTCATAGTGAATCGACCATACAATTTTTTTTAAATCTTTGAACTTTAAAAAGAAGTTCTTTGTTTTTTTTATTTTGAACACCAGCGTCTAGTTATACTTATATAACGAATTAAGAATTTTATATTTTTAAAATACTACAGCTCCACCTATTCTGGTTTGTTACAGTTTGAGGCAAGCTTTAAACTATATTAGAAGGTAAACAGATGATTTATGTGCCAGGAGTTCTTCAGCTCTACATATTTACAGCGAGAATCTCCGAGAGGGGGGGGGGGGTAATCGGCATAGTTATCCGAGGGCCCATGAACACCCAAGAGGCTCGCCAAAAAAAAAAAAAAAACGAAATGGCTCGTTAACATAAGACCGATAGAAAAGGGTGTATAAAATGTGGGACTCGCATCTCTGATCTACTCAGAGTCCGAAGTCAGCTCTCGGTGGTCCTGCTCATAGTATTCCTGATTTTCATTGTTAAATTTATTTGGTGTTTGTAGCTTTATGAAGTCAAAGTAAAAATGCGAAGAGATTACAAGTGGCGAGTTTCTGTATGAGATGGTATTACATGTAACAGAGATGCATCAGGTATCTTTGGAGAACGTTGTTTTCAGTAACTTTACGTATTGCTTATCCATAAAGGCCATCTCAAGTCTTACGTTAATTAGTTTTTCGTATTTTCTTTGTCCGCAAACTTGTATTATGTATACTGCTTGTGAGGCCACATAGACATTATTCTGTAAAGAGGTCCGGCCTTAGGTCAAGCAAGGCAACTGTCTAGTACTTGCCGAGGGAGAGGGATTTGTATACATATTGTTATGAGTGGTTCTTAAAGACGAAGCTGTAAAATCCAAAACCAGATAGTTGATCCTTTACCAAACGTACCACATCGTTTCAGTTGCGTAACTACAAAATATGCCCCCCTCACATAAAATGTATTATTTATTTCCCCATAACTGTAGTTATGATTCTGGCGGATTGATATCTCTAGCTTAAATGAAAATTCAAATTAAAGCACATTTAAAATTGTATCTAGTTTTTATTTTCGAATTACACTTGTGTCAAATTTCGGGGCTGTTAGTTTACGCATTGGTGAAAGCGAAGTACGTAGTAGTACGCATGGTGGAATTATAACTATTATATTTCCACCATGATATTAAAGACCACTAACCGAGGCACTCAGTGTATGGACTCAGTCTGCTCTGTCCTTTCTCTAAATACTTGTACTACACCAGAATAGTACAACCGATTTTTAGTTCAAATAAATTAAATTGTCGGCAATTCTTAAACTTGTCAGGGCCTTCGGGCTCCCTTTTGGATCAAGCCTTCTCCCTCCCCCTCGCAATTGCAGGGGCATACTTATGCCACTGCGTGTTTTGTTATACAATATACATCAATTTTTTTTTATTGTCGATTATACCGTACTTTGTACCTTGCCTAGGGCCTTGCAGTGACTAAGGCAGGCTCTCGTTGTCAATTTTGTATTCTAAAGCCACCTATTAATAACTTAGCTTTGCTGCCACACCACTTGAACATACGTATCTATTATTTCCACTACTGTTTTAGTCATATTATTAACCCTTTAATTACTGTAACAAATCAGACTGTTACGTATGAAACAATGTGTAGAAAATCGACAAGTCAAAATAACAACAACACACACACTCAAACGTCTAACGTTATTTTTATTTTTTATTTTTTTTTGCATAGATTCTACCAGTAAAGACATAGTAACATCACACTGTAATAGATGGGAAATAGTTAAGACTACACTGTAGCAGATAAGACACAGAACGTAAAGTTGATTTCTGTGTTTTTTTTCCCTAATGCTTTCAACACACACACACTACAGCCTCGTAATCACAAGTAACTGTACTAACTGTACACACTTATCTTTCGTGGAATGATACTATTAACAAATCGAACTTTTTTTTTTAAGAGTGGTCAACTTCGATCCTATTTATGGAAATACTGGCCAGGAGGGTAAAAGGTGATGTTTAAGCTATCTAAAATTCCCAAGGCACCAGAGTTCAATTGGACAATTAACTACTTGATACGGGTTTAGTCATTTTACGTGTTATGGCACAGATGGGCTGATTAATTATCTCTTGATTTGACTATAGCCCCTATCCAGCACAGAGTTCAATACTAAACACACACACACACACAACCTTTAAAAGTATATTAATCTAAAAACTAAAACTGGTTTAAAGAAAAATGTATGTAAAGAATCACGAATATTACCATCTTTATAGGGCTGAAGCTCTAGCCAACACCCTCATCCCTATTATCAAGTTTTGCCCCAGAGTATTATTTCCTCGCTTTAATCACGTAGGCACACATGTGTAAGTGAACAGTTATCATTAATGTACTTAATTGTTAGTTATCTTTTTATTCAGTTTCAAAGAATATTGTAAGGCACTTGCATTGGGATAGGCCTAGGATCCTGATAGGCCTAGGATCCTAACAAGATTCAGGAATTCATTTGTACATTTGAAATGGCGTACACTGGATGCGTATCTAAAACCTTAAAATGTATTTATTCCTTGCTTTCTGTTTTAACTACTGACTTACTGTGAAGAAATTTAAACAAAAAGCAAAGAAAAAAAAAGGCTCTTTTAAAGAACCTAACCGTAATTTTAAATACAATGAAAGGAGTTCAAGCTTGTAGCTACATGAATATTATCCAAAAATTCAAATAATCAAAATGTCGCCATGCTAACTTCCGTTATGTTGAATATGTATATATATATATAACACTGCTATACAACAACTCTTAAGAAGCATCATTCGTAACACACACACACACACACACACAAAACTGTACAGAGGTCTCCTTGCTTTATTTAATAGCTGTTTCTTACCAGCTAAATACAGAAAAGTCTGAGGAGACTAAAAAACTGCTCAAAAGATACGAATCAATTTCCGTATAGACCTAACTCATGCTATTAAAATATTTTACACATTGCCTGTAATCCTGATACAAAGCCTCACAAGAAGGGAGGGGTGGATACATAGAACTTGTGCTCAGAGACTAACGGTTCGTGAAATATCCATGAACTCAGTAACAACGGAGAATACCTATAACTTATAACCCACATTGCAACGATACTAATCGAAATAGCACCTACACATTTGAAAAGTTACAAAATAAATAAAATATGTAAGTAGACTGGAATGAGATGTACGTATGTCAGAAGAAATGTCAGAATTTGTTATTGATAAAATAACAGACGCTATTAATAATCGCACCGATAAAACCACATTAGTGTAAATTTTGAAGTGGCGTACGCATTGATAAATACGTGAGATGTTTAACAAAATATCACGAGAAAAGAATGTTATTTTTGTTCGTAGTTTTGTATTTTCAGGGGGAAAAAATCGACAGTGTTATCTATAGTTCTATATTCACAAAACTTGCACGCTGTTGGACATTTTAGTCGATCAAATAACATTTTAAGTTTGTTTGCTTCCTTGTAGTTAAGCACAAAGCTATGCAAAGGGCTAACTGTGCTTTGGCCACCACGGGTATCGAAACCCGGTTTCTAGTGTTGTAAGCCCGCAGACATACCGCTGTGCCAATGGGGGGGGGCAACATTTTAAGCAAAAACTACAATCGATCATCGTCCGTTTATTATGCGTGGCATTTTGAAAATATGACAAGAACATAGTTTCAAGCAGTGGATCAGATAGATTTAAAAAATTCAATTTTTTAAGTTATGCGGATTAGTAAGTTAGTTTGATTTTTAGCTATCGAACTCCAGATTTTAACGTTGTAAGTCCAGCGGGGAACGTGGATTAGTACTCGCTGAACTTTGAACTTTAATTGAAAAGTACAAAATATGAAAATAGTACGAGTTGAAACTTAGCAGAAGTGGCAAATCTCTCTCTCTCTCTCAAAATTATTTCCAATTTATGTTGTTTTAGGCTTAGACTGCCACATAGATAGATACATTTTAGGAAAAAAGAAGAGCATTTTTTTAGAATTTTCACTCAAGGCTACAAGGCAAGCGTACAAGGGCTATTTCCATATAGCCGTTCTTGCTTGTAAACTGATAGACAAGAGGGAAGACAGCTAGTCAACAACACTCACTGTTGACTGTTTGGCTATTCTTGTCTGGCTGAATAACAGGATTTGATCGTAAGTCTTATAACGAACCTACGGCTTCAAATTGCGGAGCGAATTTTTGCGGCAACAGAAAATGAACCATGAACTCTCGGAACCACATTCCGAACACGCGTACCTTTAGGCCACACCGAGTCTTAGATAGATAAAAAGAGAGGTGCGTGTGTGTGTGACTTCCACAAAGAAATGTCGTGAAAACTCGACTTTGTATTACAAAGTATAACTTATTCCCAATAGTAATTAAGCCTACTTGCACTCGTTATCGACATTGCTTTAAGCCTACTTGCACTCGTTATTAACACTGTTTAGATGTGGTTTTCTTGCAGCTTATAACTATTAAAATCTTTTCACGAAAGGAAAAGCTAACACATCCTTTTGCAAACAGCCTAAAATTGTTATAAATGAAATTGAATTTTGATATGTCTGCTATGGTGTGGTATGCTTGAGTGTAAAACAGAGGACTACGACTATTACGTCAGTGTTGAACGTGAATGCGCATTGGTTAACTATTTCCTTTTAGCAGGAAAATGTCATTCACTTATGTGTTAAATATTACAAAAAGAACAATGGTAAAATAATAATAAAACGCTACATTGCAAATTAAGGTTTATCGCGATTGGTAAATTACATTGTAATTTTATGAATTATTATCTCAGACAATACATTTAAGTTAAAGAGACGTATTAAGCCTAAACAAACGTCGCGTACATCTTTAGACAAATGTTACTTTTTGTTCTAGAGAAAAGTTAAAACTGTTACTCGTAAAGTAAGTATTTTTGATGTATATATAAACATGTATTTGAAATTTTTACATGACAAGCTTCTGGATAAGGATATTAAAAGTTTATTATAGTTTTTTTTTCTATACTTTAAAAACACATAAAATACCGGATGCTTTGAGAGAGAAATTGGATTTCTATTTTTGGCACGAGGTTCTTGGTCTTATCTAAGTAATAAATAAAGATAAGTAACTATAAACTTCCTTGAAAACATATGTCACACCTTTGCTTTCTTTAACTTCACAAACACGTCTGTTTTTAAGTAAGTTGTTTTTGGCTAAGCAATTTGCTGCAGTAAAAAACAAAAAAAAATATTCATCTAAATAAATAAACAGAAAACATTAGAAGTAACCCTTCTACTTTGACCTTTTAACTAACTTTGAGCCTTGTCCAGTTTAGGTTAATAAGTTGGATGATGTGAAGTTTGAGGGTAAACGTCCACGTACAGTGTGATCAAGAGAAGGACTTTTACCGTTATTACTGACAATATGCTGAAGCTGAAATATTATAAGACCTTAGTTTGAGTTACAGGAATTCTCTTACTTAAACAATTGCCATTACATATAGAGAGGTCGTTACGATCCAGGATATTACATACTAAAATCAGAGTCCTTTTACGTTATTTTTAAGTTTCGTTCTTATACGTATAGGCTTCTATATATTATAAAATGATCGAAAATATTTAAATTTATGGAATCTAAATTTGAAATATAGAAATATGAAAGGCACTGGTATGTTTTGTAAGAACTAGTTGAAGGCTTTCTCTGGGATATGTACGAAATGGAATGAATAAGGCAAAAATTGGGATACTGAAACATTCCCTCTTTGTAGGGAAGAAATTTACAAAACTAAGATATAAAGCACTCAACAGTTTCAAAATTCAAGAGATATCTGTCAAATACTGATTTTTTTTCTCATCATTTTACGTTTTCTTAACCTACAAATTTTTCCTTCAAAGTTCAGCGTGAGTCATTGCTATATTATCACACAATACGTTTTGCATAACTCGTATTTAAAGTACTGACATGCTTTGAATTAAAACGAGTTGATGTTTCGAAAACAACCGCAGTGCCACCTATACGCGAACTAAAAAAACGACGATTGCGAGTGATTTTAAGTTTTAGTAAATTACATAGAGGGAACCCGAAGAAAGATGAGCTTTTCAATGAAAAAAAAAAATCTTCTTTCTACAATAGTAAAAAAACATTCTATTTAAAAATTATTCACAAAAAACTTTGTATTGTTTTGACTCAACTTTTTCGTTTGCTACCTAAAATGGACAAAAAAAATACAAAACACAATCCTCGTGGAATGGCTAGGTATCTAATTAGATGTGGATAAATAAAACGAGCCACCAGAGGGAGCTATACTCACTTCTACAATTCTATATTGACTTCTTGAGCTCATGTCTGTGACATTTGCATAATCCAATGTTTACGATTACGATTGCATTTATTTTTATTTCTCTCTCACACACCACAATCTCCCATTTTCTGAGTCTTTTTTGAATTTGAGACGAATAAAAACCCGACTTCTGATTCTTCCAAGATGTGCCACAAATTAAAATCAAAAACCCGCTATTACCTATAGAGCTCTTTCTCTGGGGAAGGGGGGGGGCGAAACATCGCTATAAAATGACTTGGTCAGAGTTGTTGATAAAACAACCTATATATATATGTGTGTATATATAAGAGAAAAGAACGCTACATAAGTTACAATAATCACGGCTAAAATATACCATTCTAAAGAAAAATAACAATTAATTGTGTGCTTTGAGCACAGGTTGGTAGGTTTTGTACATGTATTGACCTATAAACCCTGTTGAAAGTAAGAACCCTAGAGGGCAGGCGGCAAGGTCACACAAAAACATATACATTCACAGACGTATCTCACTATAACGATTTCTACAAAAATATAACTAAAGGCCCCTTTACGGACGATAGGGGAGATGCTGGTTCTGTCACCAGGTGCTCTCGGTAGGCAAGTCTTGCTTGGCACTTGAAGGGGGGATACAAGACCTGGAATCACCACCAGGGGCACTCTATTAAGACTGCTACAACTTCAGTTATTACCTCATTATTGAGTGAACATGGGCTCTTGATAACTTGTTCATTCTGAAGTAAGATTGCGTTATAAGCTTACAATTACATCGGTATAAAGTGTGCAACTATTCAATCCATATGGCGATACTTATGTGCTGACATTTGTGATAGGCCTAACACAGCGTACTGGCACTTCAGGCAGTGGTAGTGGGTCTGTTTCCGATTATGGTTGCATCCCTCTATATTACAATCTTGAGATGGGGTGTACTTATCGAACCCTGCAGCATTAATGCTGTCCATCTTCATATGTTGTCTACGGTGAGCGACGACTTTGTTGGTGTCAGTGCACACAAAGTCACATTTTCTGCAATGAAAATGAGAAGCCTTGTTAGTCATTGTGCCAACTGTATTCATATAAATGCAGTTTGGCCGGCCACAGTTAATGTTCGCTCGAAACTGTTCAAAATCACCTCCCATCAAGGTGTCTAGCCGTTCGTGGCGAGCCGTGTGCTGGACAAATCGGGTCTTGTCGCAAAAGCTGTAGCCACAGTCTTTTCGAACGCAGTGAAAGTGGGTTTGATGCTCTCTGTATCCACAGTGAGGATAAACACAATCCTCGTTGAAACGATAACGTGTATATCCTTCGGGAACTGGTTCGTCTTTTAAAATACGCAAACTTGGCATCCTCATTTTCTTTGATTCGGAACAACTCGGAGATTTCGCAATAGGGCGCTTGCGATCTGGCGTCGAGGATACTTCTTCCTTCCTTACAGCACTGTAGTCCACTTGTGGAGAACCGTAAAAGCCTTCACTGGATGCAGCGATACTAGCTTGCGTAGCCAGCGCCATCTGGTGACTAAAGTTCGTGCCTCCGTGCATTGTAAAAATTGGTGTAGCCATTCCTTGGGGGGCTATAAGCTGGTGACCAGAAAATGTAGCTAGAGAAAATTGTTGCCATGGGAATAACTGAGGTACAGAAACTTTGGAGTCTACGCCAGACACTTGAGGTGACTGTGGACTCTCTTCATTTAAAGTTTTATCTACTTCAGGATCAGGGCTGTTTCGGTTTATTAAGTCTTCGTTAGGATCTGGGTCCTCGTTTTCACTGATAACCTCTCCTTCACACTGTTGAACGGAAGTAGGCGAACACTGGGAAGGAGAGGCAGCTGGACTTTGCGTACTGGAAGTGTAGATTGGCTCTGGCCGAAAACCAGCTGCATGCTTCGTTACATGTGGCTTCAGTCTAGAGAAGCTAGAAAAAGCCTAATAAGAAAAGGAGACAAATATATATATAAAGGATTAGATTAGAAAATTACCAAAAAGTTTACATTTCAAAGTCTGTGAAAAGCTTTGGTAAGGTGATTTTGTATTTAAATTATGATGAGTTAGTTCATAAGATAAATCAGTGTCCAGATATTTACAGGCACACAAATCTTTAATTAAAATATATATATTGTTGTTTTTATTTTCGTAAACATCAGTTAATGAGATAAAATGACCCCTTATTATCCTCGACTCCGGAAGAGGAGGGGGCGAAGGTATTGCAATCGGGTGCATGTGTGTGTGTCTGTCTGTCTTGTGTTTCCGCGCGCGTATCTCGAAAACTGATAGACCGATATAGACGAAAATTCTACACAAGATGGGAAGTTCACATGGGACAGTCCTACCCAAATTTGGTCCGGATCGGATTATGGATCACTTTGAAGCATTTTTAATAATGGGGAATAGGGCATTTTCGAGGTTTTGATTTAATAATTCTGTAAAGTGTGAACGGATTTATACCAGATATCATGGCCACATTAAGGTTGAGAATCCTCATCACATGACAAAAAATGATCCGGATCGTTGATCATTCTGGATCTGAGAAGGATTTTCTGAGTTTCCGAAATGAAGTTTGACGTTATTCAATATAAACGCCTGCAATCTCGAAAAGGAACGGCGGGACGAGGGTATGGAATCTCTCTGATTGCTCTTGTTTTAACTTATTTAAGGGTCTGTTTGTGATATAAAGCCTTCTTATTAATCTAATTTAATCCATTAAGTCTGTGATATGTAATTAGTTATAAAAACCAGTATCGTCATTAAACAGTAGTCCTAACAACATACTACAATCCGCTGTATGAGAAGTTTGAAAGATAAGGTAACTTAAACACACACACACATTTCACCTATTTAAAACTAAGTTATTTTAAACTGGAATCAGTTTGGTGAGTTCAAACTAGCTATTATACTTTACGAAAACTTAGTTTCTAAACATAATCTTTTACATCAAATTTTCTTATACTTTTCTTGCAGACCATAAAAATAAATTATATTTTATGTGTGATTTTCAGGAGTCTTACGTATATGCTTTTCGTTAGATGGCGCCACAAGCATAGTGATCCTTTTTTTTTTTTTAGATTCCGTAAACACTGATTTAAATGTAATGTTGTTTTAATCATATATAAGTTTCAAGACAGAGAGCCTAAAATTCATAAATTAAGTTTACAAGCCAGAACGTTGGTAAGACTGATAGAACATTTGTTTAAGAGAGAGTACTGCTGATCTGATGGGATTATATGACAAGGGCTAGAGCACTCAAACTACAGAGTCCGTGTCCATCCCTTTGACAAGGCTAAAGGACAGCAAGAGTCATCATAAGAGAACAGACAAATGCTATTTATCTACCACCAGAAAAATTCTATGCAAACATTTATACTGTGCTAATAGTGCCTTGGGGGAAGGGAAGAAACACAGCTTCTGGAGTTTGTGCATCCATAACACATCATGTGGTGGTATGATCTCTTTGTTTTGATAGCGATTATATCATCATTGGAATTGTAAGAAGTCTATCTACCTGGTTACATATATTGCAGTGGAAGTGTTCCTTCTTCTTTAGTTTACAGAAAGGACGTCCACAGCTATGTGAGGTTCCATATTGGATATGTTTCTCGGTTCCCTGGAAAGTGTTTTTCAAGTTGGGACTTGGTTCCTGTAGAAGTTTTGTTAATGGGCGCTCGTTTTTAAGATTTGCTTCAGAAGTGTGGTCCTCCGAATGTGGTCTGAAGTCCTCTTCAGGAAACACTGGCATTCCAGCCGTACTTTTCTGGTTTGATGCTGAAGCTTTGGTAAATGCAGATAATGGATAATAAGTGCCCGTTGCCTTCACTACTGTTGCTTTAGACAAAGAGTCTCCCGTTGTTGAAGAACTATTGGTAGCTTCAGTGGTTACAGTCATAACTGTAGATGTAACCTTAGGACTCACGGATCCCTCTTCGTCGCTGGTGGATGACCTCTTTCTGGGTTGACCGGATATTGAGCCATCATCATCTTGGTCCCGATGTTTTTGGTCATGAATACACATAGTGCTGTAACGCACAAATGAGTAATTGCATCCTGAACGAATGCAATGGAAATGGCGATTGACCTTGTTGCTGTGGCAGTTAGGCAACCGACAGTCGACATTTCGATCAAAGAATACAAAACCCTCCATTATGTCAATGTTGTCATGAAAGTCTTTGGAATGAAGGAGGAGGATGTCGCTTCTGTCTGTGACGTAGTAACACCGAAGCTGAGTACAGTGGTAGTGGTGCTCTCCGAGGTAAGGACACAGTTGATCAGGACATGGCGTGTTCTTGGGAAACACGTAAAACCCGTCCTGTAAATGAATCATAATGTGGTGTTAAAAATCCTTCTTTTGGGCTTTGGCTTTATATTAATTAAATACAAAAGTAAGTATCACTACTTGTGCATGGAGGGGACAAACTTTTCTTTATCACAAGATCACCTAAGAGTGACTTAATAAATCCCTTGATTATTAACGAAAACTAAAATTTTTGAACAAAAGCTCAAACCATCGTTCATGGAAGAGACACACTTTCAAAATTGTTAACTACATGTATTCCAGATATCTCCTTCAAACACATGGCAAGGAAAAACTAAGCCTGGATTGTTTGTTTGAAGTTAAGCACAAAGCTACACAAGGACTATCTGTGCTCTGCCCACCACGGGTATCGAAACCCGGTTTCTAGCGTTGTAGGTTCGCAGACATACGGCTGTGCCACTGGGGGGCCACTAAGCCTGGAATTAATAACACTGCTAGTATTCAGAAACCAATGCGCCAAATAACGTTAATTTTTTATCTGTTTTTGTTTTTCAATATCATTGTTACACTACTTTAACTGAAAATATAAAATCAGAATCGCTCTGCTTGTGCCAGCCCTCTAGCGGTAACTTTATGAGGTATTATTAAAAAAAAAGGAGCATTTCCAACTATTAGATTATCATTCTATACATGTCTATCTACTTCTTATATTTCTTTCCCCTATAAGTACATATACACTTGATTAACATCACTTGTACGCTGATTTGGAAGAAAACAATAACCATCTGGAAAAACTGCATTTTAGAAGAATGAATGTACCACAAAATGTGTAGGGAAACAGGGACAATCCATAAGTTTTCTCGATCCTATGTAATTCAGAACTATTTGTTAAGATGAAAAATACTCACACTAAAGTATGTAGCTGACTTAGTGGACCTAACGTTACCGAAATTTACCAAAACAAGACTGTCGAACTTATCAGAAACTCTTCGAATCACTGATAAGTGGTTTCAGTCGAAGAGGTTACTTGAATTTTTCTCACCTCTAGAGTTACTGGTGCCGAAGAAGACATCATTTGGTTAAGTTGTTGGACTGAAGACAAAGACTGATGTTCGGGTTCCACAGAAATTCCAGAAGTGGCTGTATTCCATATCCGAAGCTTTCCCTCTCTGATGGAGAAGAGTATGAGATTCCAGAAGGAACTGTAGGAGCAAGGAGAGAGACAGCATTTGCTCCTTTTGTTAGAAGGGCGGGATGAGGGGCGACAGCAAAATTTAAGGGAGGTGCTCCAAATGGTGTTGAAACTGTAGTCATAAAAGTCTGCTGAGGAAGAGCGGTAGGCTTTGGGAGTTTAAAACTGGTGTATATTGCTTGAGGGAGGTGAGGTGGAGTAGAAGGAATTGGAAACTGAAAACAAAAAGGATAAGTTGAATATATGGGACGAATAAATATCCACAGTTTAATAAAATAAATAGGTTTTCACGCCTGGTGTATCAAAACATCTGGATATAAACGGCTTAACCAATAAACTATATCGTCCTATGTCAATCTGAGACATCCCTTACTGTTCATGAAATAATATTTTCATATATCAATAACCCAGTAACATCTTGTTACGTAATATATTTAAAGTTTAAAAATGTATAAAATCTCTATACAAGAAAGACAAAAAATAGAACTGATAGCTAGAAAATAAAGAAAAACAGAAGACAATGTAAATTTGAAAAGTGGTAACTATATATATAGTTACAAAAATATAACTATTCAGTGGACCTTACACATGTATCAGTCTATAAAACTACGTGTCTTAGATATTCTTATTGCATCGAGCATTTGATAAATATTTTAATCAGTGTGGTTATAACCAGTTACTGAAGTTTTAAAAAAAGGAGGACGTTCTCATGCAAAGTAGCTAGACTTAACTTGTGAAAATCTACACAATTTTACAGGTTACCAATCACTATAAACACCTGATATTAATTGTTTTTAAAATTTGTTTTATTCTAAACTCACAATATTTATTCTATTGTAAGAGCATCATTCTTTTTTTTGCCACTTTACAGAGGGTTGAATACGTTATATTAAAACGATCTTGAATATACAAATTAGCAAGTCACTTGACAACCACAACAATATAAAGTCATGGTGGAACGATATGTACCAGTTCTATATTATGGAATTGTTTTCTGTTATTTAAATAGTTTAATGCTATTAAAAATAATTGATTTTCAGAAGGGTAAGTAACAGCCTTTCCGAAACAAAATAGCCATACACCCATGTCATAAAGATTTGTTCAGATTGAGGATTTAAAATTTCTAAGACTGGCATATTCCTTGTACTTAATGATATTGAAAAACAAAATAATATGGATCATCTTGGGATACCAGGACCATCCAACCATGGTAAGAAAGAAACATGAAACAAGTCATATCCCAGTCATGCTAAGCAAAATGTGGCATCTTGAAACAGATGTGGATCCAAGAACACGAACGTCAGTGGCAAAAGTGTCCATGTGTCCCAAACTACAGTATGCAAAATAATAAAGAAGGATCTCCGTCTGGAAAAGCAACATAAGTCACGTGAAGACAAGTTGCTTCCACGAAATATCTCTTCAATTATCGCAAAGACATATTGGTTAAGCCGAAGGACACAAAGGCTATAGATTTCTTCGCGATCGAGCTGTAGAAACAGGTGCTAAAAAACAAGCTGGTTTTTCGCAATAGATGCTACACTGCAGGACTTTTGTCAAAATACATGGTTATCAGATAGAGCATGACTGGACACGGCGACACGGGCTGTAACCGTTTTAATATAACATATTAAACTTCTGTATTCTTTTGAAAGAGTATTGTTCTTATTTCTACTCTACTTTAAGACTAACATTTTATTTCCACTTTACCTTATTATATGACTCCTATTTTTATTTTCACTTTAAGGTCCGGCATGGCCAGGTGGTTAGGGCACTCGACTCTCAGGCTTATAAATATAACGTACCCATAACTTAAAGTGAGAAGAATACACGGATTCCGGGTTCGAATCCCCGTCACACCAAACATGCTCGCCATTTCAGCCGTGGGGGCGTTATAATGTGATGGTCAATCCCACTATTCGTTGGTAAAAGAGTAGCCCAAGAGTTGGTGGTGATGACTAGCTGCCTTCCCTCAAGTCTTTCACTGCTAAATTAGGGACGGCTAGCGCAGATAGACCTCGTGTAGCTTTGAGAGAAATTCATAACAAACAATTTCCCCTTTACCTTATTATATGACTCCTACTTTTATTTCCACTATATCGTATTGTATAACTGCTATATATTTTCTACCTTATTCTGTTGTCAGAGTGTATTGTTATCTATATTTTATTCTATCTAATTACCTCTATAACCCTGTTCTTCGGAGGTCGACCACGTTTTCGTTTGAAGATCCCATCAACCGAAGTGGTGAAGGCCATAGGAGGTTGATTCTGTTTGTTGGTATACTCGTGAATCTTGTAGTGATCCAATCGCTTGAAAGGCTTATCCAAACTGCTAATAACAGCTTGGCACCCTCCCTGTCAAAAGAAAAAAAAAAAGGAAGACTGAGAGATAAAAAATTTTAGATCTTTGTCCAACAGAATAAATCAGAATTTTACTTTTATGATATAATAGTATCTCGCTAAAGGAAAAATCGTAATAATATCAATTCTTGTCATTTTATTGTTGATACATTAAGAGTAATATGTGTACAAACAAATTAGCAATGAGACCACAGTTAAGTTACCCAATTGCAATGGTAATGTTCTTCCATTCCTCGAAACAAGCATTCAGCAGAACACTGAGCAACTGATCCGGCTTCAACAGTTGTATAGTGGCAGTCTGTTATCCTGTCCTGGGTTTCATGATTTCTAAAGGAGAGGATACAGTTAGTGTTTCAGTTTTCATCACAAGTTCACAGAAAACAACTATATGTTCTAACTTTGAAAGCCACAGCCCTCTTTAACAAGTGGATCGGGGTTCTTCCTCCCCGATATTTAGGGCAAAGCTACTATGGCCATCTGTCACCGTCCCTAATTTTGAACTACTGATCAGAAAGAAGGTAACCAATCAGCAGCACCCTAGTACCCAAACATCCACGATAAGGGTTTGTTTGTTTGTTTTGAATTTCGCGCAAAGCTACGCGAGGGGTTATCTGCGCTACCCGTCTCTAATTTAGCAGTGTCAGACTAGAGGGAAGGCAGCTAATCACCACCATCCCAACTCTTGGGCTACTCTTTTTACCAACGAACAGTGGGATTGACCGTCACATTATAATGCCCCCACGGCTGAAAGGGCGAGCATGTTTGGTGGGACGGGGATTCGAACCCGCGACCCTCAGATTGCAAGTCGAGTGCCCCAACCACCTGTCCATGCCGGGCCGCCCCACGCTAAAGGACTGACTGTCACTCATGTAACGCATGTCTCGAGATACTTCCTGGCATTTTAATTTGTTCCTTTGAGGTCGCTGGCCATTACATAGTACTTATCATAACTGAGGTAGTATATTTAAAATGTTTGTTCGGCCGATAAGGTTTCAGGCAAGCAGCTTCAAGTATACTCTGTTAAGTACATTGTTAAGTAGGCTTAGTTTTTTCACAGCCTTTATTATAATACTTGTATGGAAAATTTACTACAGATTAAAATATCAATATTTTGCAATAGTTGTTTTCACTATTTTTGAATTATATATATATAATTGTTTCGCAATCCTGCAAACATAATACAGGACAAATAGTAACCTTGTATACACCTCAGAAATCCAGGTGAAAAAAATCCGCAGGTATCGCCCCTGGTGGCTCAATGGTGAGTCTGAGAGATTATATCGCTAGCAATCAGGTTTCGATACCCGCATTGTGTAGCTTTGTGCTGAACAGCAAACAAACTCGCAAGCATAAGTAACTTTGCTGCCATCTACCAGCAAAAAATAAAAGTTAATTACATAATTAATATTGAATTGGAAACAAAATAAGGTACTTTGATACACTGCCAATTATACATCAAGGTTTATTTTATATGCTGGAGTAAATCATGATCATTAAGTATTTCTAATGAATAAAACATGTGACTTTATAAACTACGGAGATTTCACTAAAAAACATTACTTGTAACAACTACAGATAGTTAAGACAAAAAAAAACACTTACTGCGCATGCTCTCTCACACCATTAATATCTTTGGCTCGAAATGTCATGTCACAGTTGTCGGTTGTACAGTGAAAATGGTCTTTGTCTGTCTGCTCGCACTCGGACTTGCAAGGCTCATTTCCTGTATACCTTAAAAATCAAAAGTTTAATTTACTTCAAAATGACCTGATTTAATATTCATGGGCAATAACAACTAAATAACTCTTACTAAACTTCTAATAAGTGTTCTTAAACGCCGTGGGTCACTGTCTAGAAATAATACAACGTCTATCCGCATGAAACAATCACACTAGAATCTGTATCGTAGATTGCACAGAATGAAGAAACACATATTTCACCAAGTATATCAGGCAACATCTAACGTGTCTCTCTTTAATGCCTGTAGCATTTCTTTATATTCGCCTTTTAAGTCTAAACTTTCTTGGAATACGCTTAACTAACACTAACTATCAAAACAACGTATATTTTCAAGTTAATTTGTTTTTTAAATAGATTTTTCTACCTAAAAACTATTATATTGCACCTGTAAGGTATTAATAAGCACAAAGAAATGTAACAGAAAAATCTAACAACGATTAATCCGTTTTTGAGTATACATAAACCATACCTTGTAACGTATTTTTTCCATGCATCATCAGGATTGGTTGATTTGGTCACGCCGCTACTTAAGTCTACAGCTTCTGGAGCTATAAGACTATTGTTGCTATCAGGAGTGGGATGAGACGATCCAGCGTTCAAATCTGCTCCGATAGGTGTCGTTAGGTTCACACCAGTAAGCATTGTTGCAAATCTGGCAAATGACTGGGGAAGGCTGTCAACTATTGATGGTTGAGACGAAACATGATGGGACGAAAATCCATCATCACCAGAAATTCCAGTATTTTCCGCTCCATTAGTTGTGGCGTTACTGAGGTCTCCTGGTTGAACGAGCGATGGAGCTGAACACTGGATAACAGGCATGGAACTCATGCTGGAACTTGAACTCAGAGATCCATCTCCTTGCGAGGTTATATACTATAAATACACAAGAAATGGTCAGGAGTAATTATTCTGTATTAATAACGGGAATCAATAATAATTATGTCACATTAGTCTAATTATTAAATAATTGGTGATTTTTTAAATTTAAATATCCACAACAATGGCTAATATACATTTGCCACGACCTCATCTTCAGTATATAATATTTGTTTTGTATCTGAATATTGATCAAATATTCCAGAGAGAGAGAGAAGAAAAAAAATAAGTTTAATATGAGAGTTTTCCAACACAGTAGAACTTTAAAATGTGAGATGGCCCCCTAAGGAAGTTATATAAATAAACAGTTGCAGGAATTATATATATTTCTTCTATAAATATTGGAGTTTTGTTCAATCAAACTACCAATGCTAAACATGTGTTGAAATTGTAAAGGAAAAATTGGTATTTTAGACTTAGATTGAGGTACGATATCCAGTGAGTGAAAATAATAATTTTTTTTCCAGATAAATATCTATATAGTTAGGTAATAAAGCCAAGAAAATTAGTTAGTGTCATAGAGGCAGTTAATAGGTGTTGCCAATTTTAGTTAAACTTTCCCTCAACAGATGGCAGCAGGTCTCAAAAAATGAAATCGTTTCGTCTGATGTAACGAGCATGTTTAAATGGAGTATATTTCGTAAATCAATTCAACTTTCTACAGCAGATCGACTTGTGATATTTGAAACAGCTACTAACGAAATGACGCTTGACGGGAACTTTGCTTACTTTTGTTTAATTATATTTCGACGAGGCTGATTTACCTGTTCTGGAACACCACCGGGTGGCACTGCTCCTGTCTCTGATAACGTCTTCATCATGCTCTGAGCCAGTTTGTATTTCCGGTAAGCCATTTCATTTTCCCGCCTCTCATGCTTTCTTTTATGCGAATACAGCTGTCCACTTGAGTGTAGAACGTACGTACATCCTGGTTAATTAAATGAGTAAATAGGTCAGCGACACTACCCATTTCACACGAAAACAATAATACTTTATTCACAAAACTATATATATATTACATTACAAAGACGTATAAACACAACGATACTAGGAATGGCAGTTGTGCTGACGGAAATCAGTTTTGTCATTTTTTTTCATATTAAAACTAGAGGGGCACTCACTATAGTGCAGCATGGCCAGGTGGTTAGGGGGCGCTCGACTCGCAATCTGCGGGTTCGATTTCCCATACCACCAAACACGTTCGCCCTCTCAGCCTCTCAGCCGTGGGGGCGTTATAATGTGACGGTCAATCCCACTATTCGTTGGTAAAAGAGTAGCCCAAGAGCTGGCGGTGGGTGGTAATGACTAGCTGCTTTCCCTCTAGTCTTTCACTGCTAAATTAGGGACGGGTAACCCTCGAGCAGCTTTGCGCGAAATTAAAAAACAAAACCAAACCAGTAGTACCCATAACTCCTCCACGCAGCGTTGAGCATATTCGGCTCTCAAAAAATACGAAAATGTATCCGTATGTCCGTCGGTATCAATGGACACAGACCATTTTTGGCAAGACAACGAGGAATAATATTCTACACATGCCCACCAAGTTTCATCAAAATCTGATCACTTGTGAGTGAGTTATAGAGTAAAAATAGTGTGAAAAATCGGTCCTCAGATAGAGATTTTTTTGGATTTTCGTAACCTTGACTTTTGATATTGACCCTCCAAAAACTAATCATTTCTATGTTGGGTCATAGTCCAAATGTACACCGACTTTCATCCAAATACATTCTGTCGTTTACGAGAAATCTTGCTGACAAATACAAACAGGGGTAAGTCCACCTTTAGTGGCGGAGGGAATAAAGTCGTTGCGTGACAGAAAGACATACGGGCTTCGTAAAAGACGCTATTTCATTGCGTTGTATTAAAAGTAAACACATTTCATTAATAAAAAAAGTTGAATACCTAAGTCATGATGTTTTCGATATGAAATTACATTATTTCCAAATAAGCTTGGAAAACTATTAAAATTTTTACTTAACAGTCACTAGGCATAGTTTTTGTTATTGCTCAAAAAATCTTTATAATTACAAGTATTATGCTTCAATATTTCACTCTCAAGTGCATGTGGGAAATTTGTTCACAAAATTGTTTACTTTATAAAAGAAAAAAATAATGCAATTTCCGGACAACTTAAAGAAAAAATCATTAGATGGCGCTCTCTACTTTTTTTTTCTTATACTTTTAGTTTCATGACAATGAGTATTCCAGAAATGTTGGAGGTGTTTGTCATTACAAACATAGCCAGGATGTCTAATTGAATGAACAGATTTCTTGTGAATTGGTGAAATTTTTTGGTTGCTTTCCTCCACTTTTATATGTTCTAAAATTAAAAATATGATTGAAGTTTTACCAAAACATAATATAATCATTTTATATGTGTCTACTTTTTAAACCAAACTATTTTTTTTCCATATGATAACATATGATAAATAATAAATAAATATGTTTTGCTCAAGCTTATAACTCAGAAAATGATTTTAGTACATACGTCAACAAGTTAATTTAATCTAATTTTTTCCCTTTACTTTCCCGCCAAAATTCCAGACTATCTAGATGGGCACACAGTGCGCGCTTTGGACACACTGGTGTTTCACGCTCTCTTAGCCATTCAATAGCAATTTAGCTTCTTATCTCATTATAAAAGATAATTAAAAACTTCGGACTGCAGACTACGGTACTATAGAAAATAACTGTCAAAGAAAGACGTTCCTACTGATGGTAGGTAATACAATGTAGCATTTTTCTTTATAACATATTTGGTCTAACCTATCGTCAAGTATATTGGATAAGATGATTATTCCCAGATAAAATACCAGAGAATGACTGATCATTGGCTTAGTTAAACGCCCCTCAGTGGCACAGCGGTATGTCTGCGGACTTATACTTCTAGAAACCGGGTTTCAATACCCGTGGTGGGCAGAGCATAGATAGCCCTTTGTGTAGCTTTGTGCTTAGTAACAAACAACAACAACATAGTTAAATAGCATGGTTTGGGTGCGCGATAATAAAGAGGAGTGAGCAATTTTCCTTTATTTTTTCATCCCATTTTTCAATTCCCCGACTTTATTCAAGTCTTTATCCCATTTTTCAATTCCCCGACTTTATTCAAATCTTTATCCCATTTTTCAATTCCCCGAATTTATTCAAGTCTTTATCCCATTTTTCAATTCTCCGACTTTATTCAAGTCTTTATCCCATTTTAATTCCCCGACTTTTCTCAAGTCTTCATCCCATTTTTCAATTCCCCGACTTTGTTCAAGTCTTTCGGATTGGTGCAATTAGTTAACTGAAACTTTAAAGACGGTTTAGTGAAGAAACTATGGAGATTCTCTCAACTTACCTGGACGGATACAGTGGATGTGGTTGCACACACGAGAAAACCGACAGTTTTCAAAGTAACAATGTTCTTGCTTCATGAATTTCTTGAAGCCATCTTTGTTCAACTGTTCATCCTTGATGTGGTAAGATTTGTGTTTTTCTGTATTAATAAAGGAAAAACATGAATAACACAAACTTAAAAAAATACGTAAAGACTTTTTTTTTCCATCAATGGTCTTATTTACTTGTCAGATAGATAAATATACGGGGCCACAGGCTAGCCAGCCCCCTGGTGAAGCTCTGGAGCTAGCGAGACGGGATCGAATCCGTGCGATTGTTTGTTTGTTTTTGAATTTCGCTCAAAACTACTCGAGGACTATCTGCGCTAGCCATCCATAATTTAGAAGTGATAGACTAGAGGGAAGGCAGCTAGTCAACAACACCCACCGCCAACTCTCGGGCTACTTTTTTACTAACGAATAGTGGGATTGATCGTCACATTATAACGCCCCCATGGCTGAAAGGACGAGCATGTTCGGTGACGGGGAATCGGACCCGAAATCCGTGTATTCTTCTCACTTTAACTTATGGATACGTTATATTTATAAGCCTGAGAGTCAAGATCATAGTATTACGTTGCTTTGCACACACACACACACAAAGCGAAATAATATGTTACAGAAATAATTATTGTGGAATGTGTTAGATTAGGCTAAGAAGAACGACTAGTCAAATAATTTTATATCGCCTTTTATAATTTTGATTTATAATCTACTCTTCCCCCTTTACCCTAACACTCACTTTTTTTTCTTCCTTCAAGTTGTCCCCAGAATCACGGCAGTTTGTCTACGGGCTTAAACCGCTAGAAACCGGGTTCTAATACCCGTGGTGGGCAGAGCACAGATAGCCTATTGTGCGCTTAACTACAAACAAACAAACAATCAATCCTTTAAGTTAAACTATTTTGTGAAACAGTTCTTACAGGAAACTGACAAGACGCAGTGGATGGTGAGTGATAGGGTGC